CCCCAAAACCCCAAAACCCCAAAACCCCGCTTGCCCCAATTGATATCACTGAAGATAAATTAAAATAATTTGAATATAAACTAGAAAATGCAAGCGATGCATACATCTCAGATGCAAGTGGCTGGCAACAACTAAGGTTTGTCTCAGCACGAAATCGACTACAACAGAAATAAGACATTGGAAGAGCTTAAGAACAAGCCAAGAATTAAACTTGACTTCTTGTAAGAATTGAATCATTTTTTAATGATGATAAAATAGGAATGCATTTGGAATGTATACAGGGTCATAAACGCACGATATTTAAAACTGTCTGAGCTTTTTAGAGGAAGCTGATTCCTCTCGCTTAGTCCTTACATATCCAGTGGGCAGATAAATCGGAGTTAGAGATCTGAAGACAAATGAGATGAAATTTATAAGACAGCATGAAAATCTCAAGGAGATAACTGCCCTTTGTCTGTCTCCCAATAAGAAATTCTTGGCTTCATGCGAAGTACAAAGAGACGATAAGAGTGCCTATATCACTTTTTACGATATGAAGAGCACCTTCTTTAAGAACACTTAAAATCACATTAACGTTTGCGAGGGCTAGACCCCTACCAACCAGAGATACATTACCTCCATAGTATTCTCAAATGACTCTAAGTATGTGGCTTGCCTGCTTAATGTGCCAGACTGCAAGGTCTTAATCTATGAGTGGTTCAAGAAAAACAGAGTGATTGCCAGCTATGACTTCCACAAGACTGAGATTTGCAAGATTACTTTTCATCCCAAAGACAATCACAAAGTCATCACAAGTGGAAATGGGGTTCTATAGATATTCAGTATGACTGAGGGTACTTTGAAGTAGCTTTAGGAGTTCAAGGGGATACCTACTCCGTCTAAGATGGATGAGCTTCTGACATTTGTGGACCACACTTGGAGCTATCCAGATGAAGATCATTTGATCGTTTGTAGTAAGACTGGAGACCTCTTTGTCATTGAGAACTTTGATGTAGTTCAGACACTGCCCTTTGATGCAAAAGCGCAATATACTCAGCTAAGATCATTTACCGGAGGATTTGTAGCAGCAACTGAGGATGGCATCCTTCATTTTTACAAGCAGCTGCCTGAGCCTAATGATAAAGGCAACAATAAGTATCCTAGATTTGAATTCGTGAAGAAATGGACTTGCGACTCTCTTAGGAACTACAAAATAGTCAGTTTGGCTATCTACGAAATTAATAAGGACACTGAAATATTCTTAGCAGTTGCCACTAAAAATCAAAACATAGTCTATCTGAATATGATGAGATAATTCTACACTAGTCCAAACGCAAAGACTGATATTTACGGCAACCCAATAAATGCAGATGAAGATTACCTCCCCACTGATGAGATATAGTTTGACACAGTAGCTAAGGGCTTTCATTCAGGTCCAATCACTTGCATGGATATTTCAATCCAAAGACCTATCCTAGTCACAGCTTCGAGAGAAGATAGCACTATTAGATTCTGGAACTACTACACTGGATAATGCGAACTGTCCAGAAGATATTTCGTGCTTGAGAAGGAAAAAGACTAAGACAAACTTCGTGATCAAGCAAAGCCACTTCTGACTGTCACTCTGCATCCATCAGGCTACTATATGGCAGCAGGTTTTATGGACAAGGTAAGAATTATGCATGTGCTTCATGACGAGCTGAGAGAGTTTAGAACTCTTGAGATCAAGAACTGCAACAAGATGAAGTTCAGTAATGGTGGTCAGTTCCTTGCACTCACTGACTAGAAGAAGATCTACATCTATGCTAGTTATACAGTTGAGAATATGCTCCCAGGAAACAAGCCTATACAGTGTCCATCACAATTTATCTCAGATATAGCATTCAATACCTAAGACACTTGCATGGTTATTGTTTCCAATGACGGCTTCCTCTATAGATATGACCTGCTAAGCTTTACTAAAAAAGGTGACGGTACAATTGATAGGAACTGTGACTTCAAGGCTTGTCTGTTCTTAAATGATCCTAGCGATGAGTACAAGGTGCTGGCAGTGGGTTCTGACATCTAAAGGTCTATGTTTAAGATATACAATCACAAGGAAGATCTGCAGTTGAATGTCATTTCCAATAACGACCCTGGTGCTGTTGGCTTTACTAGAAAATACTCTGAAGTTAGACATATAAAGTCATTTGTGACTGGTATTGAAAATCTAATAGTAGGTACTGATAGAGGTCAGATCAAGGTATTCACTATGCCTCCTCATATTAACCAGGACATGTGTTTTGATACATTCAACGCTCATCTAGGCGAAGTCACTCGTATTCTGGTTTCTCCAGATGGCAGATATGTCTTCTCAGCCGGTGCAGACGGCACAATATTTGTGTACTCTGTTACAGAGTATGCTAATGATCAAACAATTGTAAAGCAGGAGGTGAATGTGTCAAATGCCAAGGATGAACAGCTGAGATTAGAAATGGCAGATCCTAAGAGTGGATTTAATTAGCTTCAGCTGGTAGTTGATGAGCAACTAGCATCAATAGTGCTTGTTAAAAAATCAGTTATGGAGTAATGGAGAAAGAAGCAAGAATAACTGAGAGAAGAAATGGAGGAGGAAAAGACCAAAGTAGACACCTCACTGAAATAAGAGAAGTACAGATATGAGCAGTAGATTGATCAGATGCAGAAGACTAAGAGTGATTAGTTGAATGACTTGAACAAGAGATACGAGGACCTCTAGATGCAAGAAGCTGAGCAGAAAGATGAGAACACTTAAACCATGAAGAAAATGGAGTTGAATCATCTATAGTGCATGGAAGAGCTACAGACACTTTACGAGAAGAAGTTGGCTATTGAAAATCAGAACTATACAAGATTGGAGAAAGAGAAAGGCGAGAAGAGGGCTGAATATGAGAATCAAATAAAGATGCTCCAAAGGCAAAATGAGGAAGCTATCGAGAAGCTGCTAAATGAGTTTAAGAACAATCTAGGCAAGGTACAAGATGAGTATGAAGATAGCAAAAGGACTGCAGATGGATTGAAGACTATGTATGAGGAAAAACTTACTCAGCAAGAAGATGAGCATGAGGCTGAGATCAGTGAACTTAAGGCTCTCTACAAATAAGAATAGGAGAAGCTTGAAGACGTGATCGGCACTTTGAAGAACGATATTGAGACTATCAAGAGATAAATCAAGAGAATCCAAGATGAAAGAGATCAATTCACCAATCTCAAGGAAAAAGCTAGCAAGAAAAAGAAGAAGCTCAAGGAGTTATTAGAAGAGAAGAAAGTGCTGATAAAGTAATTAGAGGAGGAAAAGAAAGAAGTACAGGAGAAGCTGAAGAAAAAGGAGACTGAGCTATACAAATATAAGTTCAAGATCAAGGACTTGCAAAAGACTAAGTAGGTATTGACTCATAGAACTCAAGAGATGAAATCCAGTCTGGAGCCTAAGGAACAGTAAATTGAGAATCTCAAGGAGCAGTTGCTAGACTTGGAAAAGGTGTTTGAGAAGTAATCTAAGGCTATGCAGAATCTGAAGGATGACGTAGATAGGAGGCAAGATAAGATAGACGAGCTTATCAATCATGTCATGAAGGAAAAGAACCAGACCAAGCAGAAGGAAAAGACTATTCAAAGTTTCGTCAATGACATTCATAAGATAGTGCAGTAGAAAGACGAGAAGAGCTACGTTACTGGTTTGATGCGCATATATGAGCATTATGTCAAGAAATACTCAGATGAGATACTTGAAAAGAAAAAGAAAGATCCCGAGACTATAGAAGAATTAGACAGACAACTTAAGTATATGGAGAAATCTATAGGTACTCTAAAGCAAAACACCAGCAAGAATGAGTCAAACACCAAGATAAACATCAAGAAGAAGACTAAGGAAAATACTGAGTTGATCCATGAACTTAACGAGTTGAGGGTGAAGAAGAGGGAACTCGAGAATGAATTAGAAGCGAAGAGTCTCACCATACAGAAGTTGAAGCTTGAGAAGACGAGAAGAGAGCGTGAGCACGAAAAGAGGATGCAGAGTCACTCTACTAGTATGATGCATGGAGGAATGAGAAGTGGACAGAAAGGAGGTAACCAAGACGAAATGGGCTAATACTATACCAGACCAAGAAGTGGGTCTATTAAGGAGGAAGTTATTGGGCTGTCACAATCACTTAAAGTCAACAGTATGGATATTATTAGTTGTAATTGTAATAATATAGATAAGGGAAAGATATTTAAGGGCACACCATTTAACTATCTCAAGGGATCTGTAGAGGACAAATCTAGAATTTAAGAATTGACTGTAAGTTATTCCTACTTTTTAAACATCCTTTTATAGTAAGGACTTGAGGACAACAACTAGTAGATTCTTTTATAAAAACTAGAAGTAAGAAGTTTAAAGGACTAGATCATTAGACTACTTGAAGAGAGAGGAGGCTTCTCTGATGCAACAGCCGTAAATCAGAATCTATATAACACTGCTGAGAATAATAACAGCACTAACGTCAACAACCCCTATATTGTAGGAGCCTCACCATCTAACAATCCTAATATGGGAAGTTCTAATTCAAATATGAGAATCGGATAGAAGATGAACAAGGATAAGGAGAGTTTCCTGCCAAGAGTTGATTCTAAATAGAAATTCTGAGCAGTAATGATTAAGACAGTAAAGAATGGATATTTGATTATGGAATCTTGATTTATATTCATTAGTTATCTGTTTTGATAAATTAAGAAATATATTTTATCATTATTACCTTAATTTACAAGACCTAATTATTCTGCCTCATGGGGTTTTGGGGTTTTGGGGTTTTGGGGTTTTGGGG